CAGCCCCGGACCGCCGTCCTCTGTACGCCGCCCTTACCGGCCGCGCACCTACGCAGCTCACCACTTCGATTCTCTTCTGACCGTGCGCCATGTATGCGTTTGTCGTGCGTGTGGCATGCGCGTGTGCGGCGCTGCGCTGCGTTCTGCACAGACAAGGATGAAGGCGTGCGGGCCGACACTACATTGGAAGGCCTGGCCAAGCTCAAGCCCGCCTTCAGCGCGTACGCGAACCACCCTTCAACCAGCCACGCCCACTCTGGGGTGAAAAAATGAAATGAGCAAACAAACAAACAAACATAAACCGCGCGCAGGTCGGGCACGAGCACGGCGGGCAATTCGTCGCAGGTGTCGGACGGCGCGTCGGCGGTGCTGCTTATGACCCGCGCCCTCGCCGAAACCCACGGCTGGGAGGTGCTGGGCGTCTTCCGCTCCTTCGTCGCCGTCGGCTGCGACCCCGCCATTATGGTACGTACCCAGGCCGACCACCTCGCGATTGACCGATCGGTGATGACTCACCAGTTGGGTTGGACTGGACTGGACTGGGCAGGGCATCGGGCCGGCGCTGGCGATTCCGAGGGCCGTGGAGAAGGCCGGTCTGTCGCTGGCCGACATCGGCCTGTTCGAGATCAACGAGGCCTTCGCCTCCCAGTTCCACTACTGCGTGGAGGAGCTCCGCATCCCGCTCGACAGGGTCAACGTCAACGGCGGCGCCATCGCCCTTGGCCGTACATCCCCCATTTTGCTGTCGCTTTCGTTTTCTCGGCTTCGCTTTCGCTTTTCTGATTGTGGGCGGGTGCGTGGTGGACTGCTGACAGATCCGTTGGGCTGCACCGGGACTCACGACGTCCCTCCTGCACGAGATGGGCCGGCGCGAGGTTCGCTACGGCGTCGTTTCCATGTGCGTGGGCACCGGGATGGGCGCCGCCGCCGTCTTCGAGCGCTGCTGAGGTCATCACTTTTTCTTTTTCGTGTTATTAATAATAGATTTCCATCTTTCCTGGAAGATGAAGAAAATGGAAAGAAGACAGGATTTAAAGGAGAAGGCGAGGCACTCCAAGCGGCTCCTGGACAACCCAGGTCCCATCGAGTGTGGCGACCACGGGCGCCTGTCTCCCGCTGGTCGCGGCCCCACGGTGCGACGCCAGTGCTCTCCACCCTCAGCTACTGGCCCTTTGGCTTTGACGACATTACGCCCACCTTGCTGGTGTACGAGTGCCTGCATCGCGCCTGTCTTCACTCACGCACACACGCACACACACGCACTCACACTCACGCACACACGCACACACACGCACTCACGCACACGCACACTCACGCACACACACACACACACACACACGACGGGGACGTACATCAAAGGCTTTGTTGATGTCTGGCTTTAGCTGGGTGTCCGCCCGGTCCAAGATGAAGGAGGTCGATGCAGGTGGCGAGCGACAACCTTTGGCGATGGCCCATCGTTTAATGTCCTAATGTCCATGCCACGCTGCGCTGGCCACATGTTGCAGCTATTCTTTGGATGTTCACCGAGTCCTCCCCATCCAAGCATTCTAGATTGGGTTCAAGGGCCTCAAGGATGTCAACATGGCCATCAATCGAGGCAGCGCGATGCAACCACTGGATGACGGCTAGGTGCCCTCCCAAAGCTGCTCAACAATGTGCACGCTAGGTCCCGGAGATGATTGCAACCCGATAGCAACAGGCATTTCATGTGACATTGTTGAAGATAGTGACCCAATCCGTGTGGGGTTACATCAAAGTTGATGGAGCTGAAAGTAGAGGGGTGCACCGTTGCCGAGATAACAGATAGGCAGGAAGCCGCTCTGCGCCAAGCAGCCCTTTGTGTCGGGAGCCATGATGAACTTGAGACGACATGTGGCGACCGATCCGCTTGTGAGTTTTCGGGTGACCATCCATACGCCCATGCTCGCGTAGTTTACGGCTTCCGTTGTCCCGAAGGAAATCTCGTACGGCGCAGCGTTGAAACTCGACAGGCCAATCGACGACCCGTCGGTCTGGTCCTCAGGGTAGCCCCGAATGAACCACCTGCAGTCGTCCGGGTTGCGATCGCTGTCGATGGCCATGTAGAAAAACTCGCCTTGACGGAAGTTTTGCCAGGTGAACTGGACGAAGAAGTAGGAGGAGTTGAAGGGCGGCACGATCATGTCGCAATTGCTGCCGTACCAGCCTTTGCTGCATTGGCATTGCTGCGTGCCGCCACTTTGCGGGACGCAGGTGCCGTGGACGCAGTTGTAGGCATTACAAGTCGAAGGAGGCGAACCGGTTCGCACTAAGACGCAGGACACGCACGACACGAGCGTTAACAGCCGCACGCACACGATCAGCCCGGAGAGGCGGGCCACGTACCAAAGAAGGAGAGACCGCCAGAGCATCCGAAGTTGGCAGTGACTGGCCAGACGCTGCCGGAGTTGATTTGCATGTACCAGCTTCCGGGCGTACCCAGCGAGACCACGTTGCCTGGGGGTGGGGGTTAGTGAAAAAAGCAGGAGCAAGATAGGTTATGTGAGTAGACATGTACTGGAGGGGTAATGGGTGGAACACCAGGGGTTGCCATTGGTAGAGTAGGGCACCACAGACTGGCCGGCCCACTTGACATCAAAACAGCAGCTGGAGACGTCGCCCCCGAGGCTAGATAGAATATAGATTAGTTGGAAAGAAAGGCTCAACTGACACCCAAACTCCGGGTGGTACCTTATGATGCCTGAGTTGGTGTTATATTCTTGAATGAAGGTGGCCAACGTGGCGGAGTTCCATGTGTAGGGCTGCCAGCCAGGGTAGTTGGAGCCTGTGGGGCCCACCGCAAAATAGTTGGCTCCGCTGAAAGCAAGTGACGCTACTAACAGCCAGCCCACCAAAGACAGCCTTCCCAAGTGATCTAGCTCCTGGCCGGTCATTCGATTACTTGAGCCGCTGGACGTCCAAACTGCAAAGAAATTGTCGGGGCGCAAAGGACCGCTAATGCTGCGACGCATGCCATTGGCTCCCACCAATTCCAGGTAAAAAAAAATCTGGAGAATAGTCTAATGTGTCTTGAACAGTTTCCTTGTCGTTATCAGTGTTGGCGTTACTGTTTCTTTGTGTTGGGTCACTGGTCAATGCAAGACAAGAAGGCCTGGTGTTGTAGTGAAGAGGATGTTGAGCAGAGCATGCTTGTGTGGTGAGAGAGAGACAAGAGACAACTGAGTTGTTGTCTCTGTAACAACTGAGTTGTTCTGTGGCACATTGTACTCTGCTTTGCAGGTGGACAGTGTGATGCAGTGTTGTGATTTTGAAGACCAGTGGATCAGCACACTGAGTAGGGTGCAGATGATTCTGGTCATTGAACACTGAGTGTTGACATCTCCCCCCCAGTCAGCGTAGCAGTAGACTTGGGGAATGAGTCTGCTGGTGCTGTAGTTGGATTTGTCCATGCTGTCTTTGAGAATTGAGTGGTCAAACTTGATTGTGTAGTTGTAGTTTCCAGGTGCAGTGGCAAGATAATGCTTAAATGAGGCAAGCACCTTGCTTTTATTGCACAGCAGGTAGATGGTGGCATACTGGCTGTGGTTGTTGATGAAGCTGACAAAGAAGTGCTTGCCATCTTGTGTGGGAACAGGGAAGGGGCCACAGACATTGGAGTGTACACACTTGAGTGGTGCAGCAGCTTGAGGCACAGGCCCCAACTGGATTGGCTTGTGGGTCTGCTTGCCCTTCTTGCAGATGAGGCAGGTGTGGAGCTTGGAGTCTGTGGCTTTGATGCTGAGGGCCTTGAGGGTGGCATGAAGCTGCTTCTCTCTGGTGTGGCTGAAGTGGTGGTGTAGCTTGTTGAGGGTTGGAAGCTGCTGGATGGTGTTGACCTGGTGTGTGGGCATGTTGGGCTTGAGAGGTATGATCAGCATGTTGTCTTGGGCCTTGGTGTGTAGAATTGTGTGGCCCTGCTGGTCATACATGTAACAGCCCTGTGTGGTGATGGTGAGCTGGCAGCCCTTGCTGGCAATATGTGCTGTTGAGAGCAGATTCTTGGCTAGCTCTGGCGTGTAGAGGACTTTCTGGAATGGATGTGCCTGATCTTGCTGCACTGGTAGCACTTGAGCTCCTTGTTCTGGATTGGCTTCCTCTTCTTCTCCTTGTCACTGGAACAGTTGTATCCACAAGGCTGCCCCTTACTGCGCCTGTGCTGCTTTGCCATGTAGTTGGCTAATTCTACATGGTCTCCCCATGTGTGCAGCAGCACCTCTCAATTGTGCAGCATCTTCTGGGCCTTGATGATGGTGATGTTGTTGTTGCTCTTGATGACTGTTTGGACTGGGTTGTAGTCAGAAGGCAAGCCATTGAGCGTTACCATGAGGATGAAGATCTTGGTGAGCTTCAGGCTGTTGGCTTCCAGCTCCCCAGCCAGCAAGTCGATGTGGCCAAAGTAGGAGTCCAGGTCTTCATTGTGATTGTGCTTGATGTTCATCAGTTGCATCAGCATGTTGAGCTTGCCAGCGTTGGCCTTGGGCTTGAACTGCTTGTTGAGGACCTCCATCATCCTCTTCAGGTCGTTCTTGTGCTGCTTGACTGTCAAGTGGAAGTGCCTTCTGAGGCTGAGTCAAATCAGGCCAGCAGTCTGCATCATCCACTGGGCATACTTGTTCATACAGAGTGCAAACTGTGCAGCAGTCTCCCCTTGTACCTGGACTGGAGCAGTAGGTTGTCCAAAGGCTAAGTCCCATAGCCCCTTCACTTGCAGGACAGCAGACAGCTCATCCCTCCAGACAGCATAATCAGCTGCCGTCTTCAGCATGTATCAGCATCCTCCTTCATGCACCATTCTATGAGCAAAGGCCCATAACCTGTTGAGCAGAGTGTGCTTGTGTGGTGAGAGAGAGACAAGAGACAACTGAGTTGTTGTCTCCATGGCCCATTTATTGATGAGGTGTGTCCAGAGTTACATTTCTCAATGGACACACATTGTGATGTTGATGGTGGTTTTTGTTGCAACTTCCTCAGTGTTCAATCACTTGAGGAACATGTGCTTTTGTCATGTGCACTCCTCAACAGAGGAGGTTGCCCCAATAGTTCTGCACACTTGCCATGCCTTGGATGGTCATGGTGGTGGATTGTCCTCTTGCAGGGTTGTCTATATGCAGCTCATTGTCACCTCTGTACTGGTGCACCACCATGCTGTTGAGGGACCACTCTCACACCATGGAGTGCAAGGAGTTGGTAGGGAGATCACACACCTCTCCCTGCACAGGTAGGAGTTGAGTGCCTGGATCATGAGCATCACCTTGGGAAGCTCCATGGCAGCTGGTGCAATGGAGCATTCCTGTAAAAGTGGTTCTCCAGCGTTCCCTGCCTGTGAATGGTTGAAGTGCCCTTTGGGATGTTGATGAACATAGAGCTCATCTCCATGCATGACTTGGGTGGGCTGCCTGACACTGCCCAAGCAAGTCTGGGAGGCACTGAGCTGTTGCTGAACCTCTTCATGGCTGGCATGATGCTCTAAACACCATGAGATATCATCTTAAAACCATAACAATGTCATTCCATATCCAGTGAGCTTGCTTGCCCAATTTTGTGTCCTCCTTAAATCCATCTTGAATGGGATTGTATTGACTAATACCTCTTTTAATCCATCTTAAATGGGATTGTATTGAGTGATATGAAGTGGGAACTGTTGGCCAGTTGTATCTGGTGGTTGGTGTATCTGTACATCTTTGTCCAGTCCACAGTCCTGCATGCTGTGGACAACAAAAAGAATGATGAACATGCAGAGCAGGAGGAGCTGAGAAGTATGAGGAGAAGCAACTAAGCCAAGGTGCACCACCAAGGACGCCAAGCATTGACGAATTGACACTGAGGGCCCTCACCAGAGTGAGTAGCCCATAAATAGAACATTAATTAGGAATAAAGAAAAGTATTCCCAACCAGAATTTCTCCTCTCTCGTGTAGCAGTAATCCTCGGTAGCTTAGTTGGTAGAGCGCACGGCTGTTAACCGTGAGGTCGCAGGTTCGAACCCTGCCCGGGGAGCTTTCCCTTTAACTTTTTGTGATTCCTCTTGGACCCCGCGGATAATGGTAGAAACAAGTACGTTTAGTCTGCCTTCTTGGTCTTCCTGGTGGGGTCGGCCGCGGTCGTGGGTTGCTTCGTCCGCCTGTTCGCCTTCTTGACGTAGGAGTCGATGTAGAGCTTGGTGAAGAGCACGACGTAGCTGACGTACATGACGAGGCCAAAGATGTAGTTGGTCGGGAGCGTGTTGCAGGCCACCAGGTTGTGCACCACGATGGCGATGCCCAGCACCATCTGCAGGATCTGCAGGGTGGTGATCGACTGGCGCGTCGCCACGCCAAAGCGGACGCCGTAGGCGCACGCCGCGTAGTAGGCGTACATGAGGGTGTGGATCACCAGGTTCATCGCCGCGAACCAGCCGCCGTTGGGCGCCTGCAGCCCGAGCCCGTGCCAGCAGTAGAGGAGCGTGACCACGTGGTGGTAGTAGTGCAGGAAGATGAGCGGCCGCTTGCGCAGCACGATGAAGAACGTGTCCAGCAGCTCTGGGATCTTGCTCAG